TCTATGACCATATAGCAGGAGTTGTGGGTTCGAGTCCTGCTCCGGGACGATTTTTTTTCTCCCAGCGGTTCTAAATTGTTTAAATTAATTAATTTATTTATAATTATTAATGTTAATAAGAGATGGCGCCTAACGCTTACCTCTAGAGCCAAATTGATTACGTAATTCATTTAGTAATTAGCCTTAAACTAGCCCGATATAATTTCGGCATTTGGTTGGTGTTTAGCTATTAATTAAAATTTAAGTTTTTCAAAATAATAATTTATTATTTTGACTTAATACATGAATCTGAAAAAGAAAAAAATAGATTCATATTAAAAATTATTTTTATTGTATGAAATTGTATATTTTTTATTAAGAACACACTATTTCATGCCATAAGAATCATACAGTATTATTAATTAACTATTTACACTAATCGGCCGATTAATCGGTAATCGGCCATTTTGCTTAACGGTGCATCCTTAATTCTTTATTTTGATTTGGTTTATATGGAGATTCTAGCTTTACGTGCTCTTTCTCCGATAGACTTGTAATGATCGCTATGAGACCGAAGAGCCAGCCTTATAGAAACGGCCTAAACGTGCGCGAGGGGAAATAATGCCTTCCGGGAGGACTTTTATGGAAAACTTGTCCCTATTCGGGCGTCATCGACATGGAGAAAATCCGGAAAACTCCATGATGCGGCCCCTCCGAGCGAAGCGCGAACCCACTACCGAACTCCCAGTGTTCAGGGTGTAGTCCACTCAAGTGCGGGGACGAAGACCGCTCGACCACTGGTGGGCCTTCCTTAATTCTTACTAACCCTCCCATAGAGGCCCGATGGACGAGCGGTTAAGGTGGCAGCCTACCGCTCAGGGAGACCCGGGATCGAATCCGGGCAGGTCGGGAGGTGGTCCGTTCAGATACGTCGATCTCCATCCCTCCCATTGTGGGCCTTGTCGAGCCCATAATGGGCTTGCTAAAAGAGGCCCTCTTAGTGTAGAGTTTTAAAAAAATGTGATTATTGTATTACTTTAATATTATAGTCTATATCATGTACGTGTTTACCTTCTAATAAAAAATATTTATTTTCTACTCACAATAAAAAAAAACCTAACTTTTTTATTTCTAAGTATAACATCCTAATTTTAAAATGTCCGAGTCAGCAAATTTTGAAAAGGTGACAACACTGAGTTAGGGCCTCGAATTGCTTAAATCCGGCTCTGTCCCACACAAAATTATTGGCATTTTAAACATTAAGGAAAAATCTTTTAAAATTGACAGCATAACTTGTTCGTGTAAAGCTGGACAATCGGGAAACTATTGCCAATTCTTAAGTCTAATTCACTCTTCAGAATTCGGAGCTCATAGATATAACTGACCGATTTCCGAATTATCATCTGTTTTTCGAGCGGGAATAGACAAAAACTTATATTGGGCTCTTGTATGGTCTTGAAATTGCAATTTGGAGTGAAAGGAAAAGCTTTGCCTTTTCTATTCCTATTCGTTTTTATTGCTGATAATACACAAGAATGGCCCAGATAAAATATTTTTGTTTTTAAACACCAGAGGGTTACGTCACCTTTGACTCGATAGTGAATGTATTTTACCCACATCGACATAGTTTAAGACGAATTTAAATCATCGTCGTCGTTTTGCCGAATAATTTATTCGATAACTTCAGATTCGTTTAACGCGAAGGAATCGAAAAACACTTTATTATAAATATTAAAACGAAATTTTCTACAATTCTTATATAAAACATGGCTTGAATTTAAAAGGCGGCGGAAAGACATTAGAATAAAATATTGACAAAAATTTTAACTTTAACAAAATTTCGACCCGTTTATTAATTAAATAAAAGATTTTTCGATATATTTGAATTCTTCCACCCCGGTATAAACGGAAATCTCGCCGGAAAAATTTAAAAATAATTTTTGTTCTGGTGGAAAATTGAGATGGAATGTGGATTTATTTACAAAATATCACAATCGTTTAGTAATTTCTTCCGACTACTTCTCGGCATTTATACTTCCGTTTTCGGTGTTCAAGAGGGGGTCGAGCTCCTCCGACGTTCCCCTGCGTGTCAGTTTGTTCCAAAATTGCCGGATGTATATGTCATTGTACAAACACATTCCCACTAAAAGTATCAGAAATCCCACTAGTTGCAGCCAACCAAACTTCTCGTGGAACAGAAGCATGCCGCAGATCCACACTACAAGGGTCCTGATGCTGTCCAACACCATCCTGGTGGTGGCGCTAATCTCTTTGGTCACGCTTATTCCGGCAAAATTAAAAAAGGCGATACTGATCACCGTCCCTAAAAATACACCAATATCGATTAGTGGATTCTCATTTTCCAAATGAATATTCTAACGATCCACAAATATCTTACCGCAAACGCCCAAACACACTTGCCAAGAATTTGCAATTTGATAGAAGCCGTCGATGGCATCTTCTAAATTTCCTTTAGGATTATGAAAAAAATTTTTTCCCACTGGTATGTAATACATCGGCACCAATAAAATTGACAATATAATAAAACCGAAGAAACCTGTAAAAAAGATAACTCTTATTTTACTTACTTCCGTTCCGTTACTTATATATTCCATAAAAACACAAGTGCCTCACGCGTGTCTTAAAATTATTTTTTATATAACATATTCCTTTCACGTATCTATTTCAGTAACTACTCCAATTCTTAATGATTCTAACAGAACACCTGACAATTTTTAAACATTCTAAAATTTAAAAGTTATAGACAGCAATAAGCCATTTGTTACTAATTATTTTCAGTCTTAAATATGCAAAAATCATTTTGGAGCCTCATTTTGTTGCTGTTAATGAGATACACGAATTATGACGTGTGTCGTCATAAAAGTATGCAATAAAAATTATCACTGTTCTTAATGAAAATATGAATAAAAGATAAAAATTAGAATATTTGCTAAAAGCTGTAACACTAATAATTTGTCATAAAAATTATTAGTTTTACAACTTGTGGTACATCTTAACTTAAATTTTAATTATATATTTTTACAGTTATACAGGATGATCGTAAACTCTTTCAATAAAAAAGGAGCGATAGTACACATCGAGACAAACAATATTTGCGATAGAAACTAGGTTCCACATTCCACTCATAGTGCCAAAACAGAACAAGATGAAAAATCGTCCAGAATGCGCAAGTATTTACAACCCATGTATGAGAAGTACAAGATGTAAATCAGGTCAGCTGATCAGCTGCATAGATGATTAGGAGCAAACATTTAAAAATGCAGCCCAACCTGTTCATCAATAAATATTGTGATAACATCAGAGGATAATTCATGCAAACACGGAGGACTTAACATAAGAGAAATTGGCAGATATGCATTTAATGTATGGCCAACCAGTTGGTTATGAATGTGAAGCGCAAAGATTGTACTGTAAGAGATTTCTAAATCATTGTATTCCTTACCATTTGACCTTCACCAGTGTTAATCAAAGATTGTATGAAACTGGCCCATTGGCTACATCAATGAGGGATACCGGATGTACTGTACCTGAAATGTGCAGACACTGAAAATGGAAGTGGGTATCTTGCAGCAATTTGCAGACGCAGTGGCATCTGAAATGGATGCTTGTAAAAATTCTGTGTAGAATGTTCTGCATGAAACAGGTATGATTACCTTCCAAGTCCAGAAAATCCAAGCTTTGAATGGAGAAGATTATCTCACCTCGTGATGACTATTTCGTGGATGCTTCTGATGAACACTGTTAATCCAGGATTTCTCACATTAGTGTTATTTGGTGATGAGGCCACATTCACACAGGAAGGCATTTTCATCATCATAACCAGCATGTTGGGCTCAAAAAAATCCACACATCACTAATCCTTGAAAACACTAGCAAAGATATGCCGTCCATATCTGGGCAGGTGTCCTTGATGATTGTCTGGTGGGACCTTACCTCTTGCCAGAATGTCTGGCTGGGGCAGTGTACTGTGTGAGCAAGTGCTTCCTGGTATGTTGCAGGGTGTTCTGCTCACCATACAGAGGAACATGTAAGAAAGACACATGATGGGTCCCATAAAACTTTTCCACCAAGATGCAATACTTCTTAAATGAAACATATTCCATTGGATTGGACATGTGGCCTCCATGCTCCCTGGATCTTTCTCCACTGGATTTCTTCTAAGGTACATGAAAACATTGGTGTATGAGATGTATGAGATGTATATGGACTCCATGGAAGATCTTGTCATGAGAATCATTGTTGCTGCAGACAAGATCAACACCATACTAGGAGTCTACAAGAGGATGAAAGTCTTTCATTCAACAGTTTTTTTCACTGTTGAAGGATCAACATAGATATATAACTTTAATGTTTTCTGGCACTATGAGAGGAATGTGGCCCTAGGTTCCATTACAAATATTGTTCATCTTGATGTGTACTATCACCTCTTAATTTGTTGAGAATTTATGATCACCCCGTATTTTTTTTTTGGCCTGGTCAATTGAGAAATGTATAAACAATATGTCATTGTATAATATTTCAACTCTGATATGAATTTGAAAAATTATAATAATAAAATGTCATTATTACCAACACACTTATTGACAAGACTATGTCTTGTTTATAAAATTGTACAGTCAATCCTCCTATAACAATGTTGATAATTCCGTTTTTTATGAATTCCATGTTGTACGACTCACTTAGATTTTACAAATACGTGAACCATTCACAGCCCGGCACACATACTTGTAAAATCTAAGTGACTCGTACAACATGGAATTAATATAAAACGGAATTATCAACATTGTTATAGGGGGTCGACTATACTGCTATTTTATGTTACCAGCATAGAGGTATGAAAGAGTACCTGTCGAGAGTTGATATTTGGCACAGAGTATTAGGTGCCCAAATCATTTGCGCATAAAAAAATCCAGACTCGTAGGTAGTCAGGGGGCCAAGAATCGAGTCAAAATAAAATACAAAATGGCAACCCTCTTCTACAAACAGGCAAAACAGCCACCTCGCCCCACTGAAGTCAGGTAGGGAAGAGTACCACCCGCAGTCATTCTAAGAAGCGAACTCCGACCTTAGGACTGATCATGTAGTTTATTCTATGTTAAATAAAATTTGTAATCTAATTTTGTAAATTTGGGAGGGTTTCAAATATGATGTTAAAATGGTTTTATGTCATTAGAAGTGGGTTTTTTTTAACATTATGTAGTATAGTAAAATTGTGGGACCGATAAAAATTTGACGTTATATTAGGGTTGTCGTTAAATCTGATGACGTTATAATCGGGTTAAACTGTATATTGTTTGCGCAAAATAAAAAAAATAACTTCGGATGATACAATAGCCATGATTATTTTTTTCAAAAACAGGAAATTTTCGTTACACATGGACAAAAATTCAACCCGGGCCGACATGCAACAGAGAGAAATTTCAAAATCAGATAGGTTAAGGGCTTAAGGAGTTTTAATCTTATATATCTTATAATCTTATATAGCATCTTATATATTAAAGGATGATACAGGGCTGCAATGAAGTAGCAGTATGTCATCATTCATTGTCTAAACACAGACTGACAGGAATATTAAATATTTCAGAATATTAAGATAAAGGAAAGAATTTAATTCACAAAAGGAAAAGTAAAATTGAAAAGAAAGGAAACAACAACAGTAACAAAAAATTCAGCAACAAGTTGTGTAACTTTCCTGGCTGTTATGAGGTTTTATTATAAATATAACTTTTATATTATTAATTACAGCTTAATTTTGAGGGTAGAGATGAGTTTTTAAAAATATTGTAAATGCCAATAATGGTTAAAATTTTCATTAAGTCTGACCCCATCTGAAATATGACAAGTAAAAATTCCTCTATATCCCTACCCCTCAACCTTTAACCATCAAATTTTTTGCATCAATGCTCCTTATATAAAAGTTAACATGCCAAATTTCATTTCTTAATCTTTAATCCATCCTGAAATAGTAAACAAAATAAACATCCAAACACCCACAAATTTCAGATATCAGTTTTTTGACTTTTTTGGTTCAGAGGTGTCAAAATCAACGAGATTTCAACATTCTGGAAAGTAAAATGTGACATGCTTACAATATTATATAACAGCTAGAAATGTAAGCCATGTTACATTATAACAGCTATGAAAGTAAAACCCACAGAAAAAGTAATCAAAAATGAAACTAACGAGTTTTTTATAAACCAGGAAAAATGTACAAAAAATAAATAAACAAATAAATAAATCATATGTTTAATGTGACACTTCCTACATTATGAGGTATATTAAAATTTTAAATCAAGACTTTCTAAATTCAAAAATATTAAGAATTTGAGAACAATTGATTCAGTACACAATGTATGTCTCTTATATTCAATAGTAAACGTAGTGTATGTGTACATATAGTATGTATCTCTAATTGAATAATATAATTCATTAAATAAACTAAATGTACTGTACATAGCATTTTCTTTGTCATTCATGTGAAATTCTCTTCCATGTGTTTTTGAGACTTTTAATCATCAAACTTTCACACTGTTTTTTTCAATGATACAAACATAGATAGCTTTAAATAAATATACTTTAATTAAAATTACCCAAAGCATACATACCTTCCCATCCAACAGCTTGAAGTGGTGGTACATTATTTTTGCTAACAAATTTTTCTTCAATAACCATTTGAGTAGCCGTTATAATTTGAGCTATTACTATAAGTAAATCACCTGTTAAAATTGTAAAATTTCAGTACTTCATTTTGTTTTTCAATAAAAAGAAATGAACAAAACAACACTAATGACAATTNTGTATCAAATATTTTATAAAATATTTAAAAATAAATATGGTGAAAATGTGAATTTGTTATATACAGATACTGATTCGCTAAAGCTTCAAATTTATACGAATAATATATATAACGACTTTATATCATTTCCAGATATTTTTGATTTCAGCAACTACCCTAACACACATGAATTATTTGATGCAACAAATAAAAATAAGCTAGGATGTTTTAAAAATAAGACAGCATCTAAACCTATAATAGAATTTTGTTCATTAAAGCCGAAAATGTATTCGTATATTTTCGATAATCAAAATAAAAAAACGGCTAAAGGAATTAAAAAATGTGTAGTTAAAACATTTGACCACGAGATGTATAAAGAAGTTCTTTTTAATAACGAGCTATTGAGACATCAGCAGTATGGTATTAAAAGTAAAAACCATGTTGTAACAACATATCTTCAGAATAAAATATCTCTCTCACTGTTTTATGACAAAAATTTATTTCTGATAATGGTATAGATGTGATATTGTTCGGATATTATAATTTTTATATTTAAATTCTTCCAGATTCTCTGATATCATCTTCCCCCCAATACAGTTACATATTATTGTACAAGAGGAAACGAAATTCAAAAACTTGTTTAATACATGGTTTTTTGAGTAAAACATATCGTTGTTTAAAACAAGCCGTAAATAAAGCTGGATTATTTCAATTACCTTGGAATCAGAAAAACTATTGTAAATTTTTTGTATTGACTAACCAGATAACGATGATGTTATGTAATAATAATTTTATAAAATGTGGTTGTTCTAACTGTACTTGTACTTTGTAACCATGTTTATATATATATATATATATATAAATATAACTATCCTAATACTGAGTTTTTTTTATAGAATTCAAACACATTACACCACTTGAATGGGAGAAATTCTCGAGTTTACCCATGGACGAAAATAATATCAGACGTTTTAAAAACTATATTAAATGGGAAATTATAAGCCAAAAAACCGATTTAAGCCGAGACTTCATTTCCGAATTCGCGGATTATTTAAACTGGAAACTAATATGGAAAAATTATATATTTACCACTACGTTTATCGAAAAACATATTAAATACGCTAATTGGAATATAATTTCAGAACACCAATTATTAGACGAAGAATTCATGGATAAGTTTTCGGACTATCTTAATTGGGATAAAATAGCAAAATTTCAACTTCTCTCCGATAATTTTATTAAGAAATATATTGATAAATTAAATATGAGAATAGTTTTAAAATATCAGCGATTAAATACCGATAC